TCTGCATTCGGAGTGCTCTTTTCCTTTGCAGTTGTTCATTTCAACTTGCAACTGCTTTATTTTCCATGGAAGTTGCATGAAGTGCTTCGCCTCAAATTTCAACGTAAACTCGTGATAGGTGTCCTCAAATATTCAACAAACTCCATGCCACGACTAGCGCGAAAAGCCAGCATACAGTGAGAATGGATAGTACTTTAATCGGCACTCTTTCACTTGGGGGGTGGTCGCACACGAGCACGCTCGCGTGCGACAACCGATGCCACGCCTACTGCGCATGGCCTCAGCCTAAGTGTGACCTCAGCCTTATCTAAGCGTAGCCTCAAACGGCTCGATGTCACAACGAGGGCCAGCAAGCGAGTTCAGGCTTAAGCTTAGGCTGAGACTACGCTCAGGCTGAGGCTATGCGCAGTAGGCGTGGCCTCGGTGCATGTGATAGCGTTGTTCATAGTGTGCGAGCGTGTGTGTGTATCGTTGTACGCGAGCGTGCTCGCATGCGATTCCTCCCCTCCCCTCCCCCCCTAAAGCCGGGGGGGGGGTGACCGGCAAATGCATCTACGACAATTCTAACTCCGACAAGAAGCACCATACTACTCGCAATGCTGAGGCACGCGTTATCATAGACTTTTGCGGTGCAAATTGTCCGAGTGACGGCACTTGTCGCCGGGCAAATTGTTATGGGCGGGGTTTATTAAAGCCCCACCCACATTAATCTAAAGCTATTTTATGATATTGAAGCGTGCTTAGTATTATTGTTATTATTATTATTGCTTTATAATTAATAATATTAGTGTTATGATGTATATTCAATATATTTATATTATAATAAACTTCCAGAGAATGGAACCAACAGAAGAATTAGTGAATATAAATATTGAAGAGATTTATGCAGTGGTCAACCAAATGAAGGAAAACGGGTATTTTTATTATTTATTATTATTGTGTTTGTTATTATTGTATTTGCTATTATATTTATTGTTATTGTGTTTATTATTATATTTATTATTACGTTCATCAGTGCAGTTATTATTATGAATAAAAATTGTAATAAATAAATAAATAGTAATGAAGAGTAATATAATAATAAATAAAAATTAAGGAAAGCGTCGGAATTAATTAAGGGATCGGTCGAAGAGATGTTGCATAGAAAAGCGTTGCAAATCGCACAATTGAATAACATCGAATCGATTGATAAAAATATGCGAAATTTATTGAATATCGTGTTTCAGATTGCTAAGGAAGGTTGTTTTTATTATTTATTGTTGTCTTTTATTATTATTTATTGTTATTATTTATTATTGCCTTTTATTTTTATTATTGTTATTATTTATTATTGTCCTTTATTATTATTTATTGTTATTTTTATCATTATTATTATTAATTTTACTTATTATTATGTAAGTTATTATTAACGTATGAGTTTCATCGAAGGTTTATTATTAAGATAGTAAATGTTAATAATGAAGAGTAATCATAAAAATGATATTATATATAATAAAAAAGAATAATGTAATAAATAATAATAATAATAAATAATAGATGTGTGCACGAAATCGCTAACAGTAACAATAATACAAGACATTTTCGATGTTCTTTCGATCGATGACTGCGAGTATTTATTTAGCATTGTGGAGGATAACCTCTCGTTGTGGAAGAATGTTTGTGATTTTAGTGATAGTTTTATTATTTTATTTATTATTTATTTAATGGGCGAATCAAACAACTCATTACGAGTTTTTTATGAAGTCAGATTATTGCGAACGCTGTTGTTATCGTTAGCTGCGTGGAATGAGGAATGCCAACGAAGGAAGAGTGTGATGTTGGTGGTGATAAAAGGCATAAACTCGTTATGAGTTGTTTGATTTGCTGATTAAATCACCTGGATTGGCCAGGCTATCAAGCGTTTAGCCTCAATTCACGCCACCCGTTGGCTAGGCGAGCAGGCCAAGCGAACACAACCGAGTAATTAATTAGTTGAGAGCCGTGAATACTTTGCATAATTAAACGTTGCAGTCAAATAGCACCAATTCAACAAATAATCATAACTCTAATAAAATAAATATCCCGCCGATCGCTGCTCACAGCGATTGACGAAACAAGCACTCGATGTCCAAGTAATAATTAATAAAGTAATTAATGATCACAGAAGGTGTACTACGAGTGGTGTAAGAATACGATGCTGCGCATGTGCAACGACCTGCTGAAACGACTCTCGCAGAGCATTAACACCTCATTCTGCGGGCGTGTGCTCGTGCTCTTGTCGAACGCGTTGCCGTTGTGCGAGAAGTCTGGCCTGAACCTGTTGTCGCATTTTAACTCATCCAATGCCACCCTTTATGACTTGCTAGTATGCCTTCTTTGATGTTTTATTCTTATTTTTAAGGCACTTCTTTACTTTAGGGCACCCGCACGCGTACGGCAACACAAATCTACGCGTTCAACCAGACCGAGGCCACGCCTACTGTACATGGCCTAAGCCTAAGCCCAAGCCTGAGCTCGCTTGCTAGCCTCTGTTGTAACATCAAGCGATCCGGGCTATGCTTAGTTGAGGCTGAGGTTACACTTAGGCTGAGGCCATATGCAGTAGGCGTGGCCTCATTTGTTATACGCGAGCGTGCGGGTCCCCTAAAGTAAAGAAGTGCCTTTATTGTTTGTTGTTATCATGTTAATTATGAATATAAAAAATGTTATTAATATTATTTAAGTGCGAAAGTGCAGCGAAAATAGAGCCGAAAGAAAGTTTGAGTGAAGAGAATATTGAAGAGGATATCGAAACGGGTGAAATTAAAGAGAATTGGTTCGGGTTTTGTTTTGTGTGTTGTGGTTGTTTGTTGTTATTTATTATATTTATTACTATTTATTATTTATTATTGTATATTGTTGTTATGTTTGTTGTTATTTATTAATGTAATTAAAGTTAAAATTTCAGCGATATCCCCATCGATTTTGCATTATATGCGAAATTTTGGCAATTGCAAACGTTTTTCACGGCGCCGAATTCGTGTTATGATAAATCGAAGTGGAAGATATTCCATCAGGTTGGTTTTTAGTGTTTATTATTTATTGTTATTATTATTTATTTATTTTTATTATTATTATTAATATTTATTATTATTTATTTATATTATTAATAAATATTATAGAATACAAACGATGTATTGAATATTTTGCTAACCCACAAACTCGGTGGGAATATTGTCGATTCGAATAGAAATCAGAAGAAGAAACGCAGAATCAATGAGGAGGTTTATTTATTTATTATTTTTTATTGTTATTATTTATTATTATTATT